AATTTAAGCTCTTAAAGCCAAAGTACAATGACCAGTCACCTGTGGATTATTTGAAAAAAATATATAGCTCACCCACATTTTGACTTACCAGCAAAACAAGCATCTCTATGGCTGTGATATATGTATGTGTTATAATATATAACTCTGTATTGCAAAGATTCTATTTTATGTAAAATGGAACAAAGACTTACCATCAACTGTACTAGAACAAACAGTTCAAGTCCCTGCACATTTTTTCCTCCTCTTATTCAAAAATGACAACACTTAAGCAGATGCATTTTAAAGTGGTTTAGACCCAGGATGAAACAGGACCATCAGCCCTGCAATCTGAGAACGTCTGTTACACCATTCACCCTTTCATGCACTTCACTAGTAACAAGAAATGCAAGTCTGTGAACGGTAGGTTTGATATGTGGCCTGAGCTATTACGTGAGAAAAAACAGAACTTTTTTTTTCCCCTCTATGAGAATTGGCTATGACCTTGGCCTCATTAATGCTAAGTTCCGGCCAAAGGAACTCCAATGGGTTATGGAATCATGAAAGCTGCTAAATCCTATCAGGCTAAGTCTTCTGACAATTCTGAGGCATGGGGGTAAGAGGAGAAAAAAAAATGGATTATACAGAGAAAACTTAATGCCCAATGAGTTTCTAAATCTGTTTTATTTATTTAAACTAGGATAGAACTTTCCACAAGAAGTTAATATGGATCCTCCTTTCTGAAAATATATCTTTACCGGTGTGCCCTTTTTAATAGCATTTCCTTTGTGTGTACTTTAGAATGGAGATAATTTATACTTTCAGTGAGATGCTATGTTCCTTGTCTAACAGGTAAACTCTAGGTGCACAAAAGGCTTTCATTACCAGGCTTGACAGTGGAAAAGCCAAGCAGAAAACAGGCTGGCAGGGATAGGTTAATATAAACCTCCTCTGAGGAGTTGAAAACATCATCACATTTGTTCCCTGCTGTTTGTCCACCCCTCTGTGATCTCTGTCTCTATAATAAAATATTTATAGCCAGAGCCCAGCATCTCTGCCTCTTCACTGTTGGAATAAGGTGTGTTCTGCGTTCACGGGAGAAAAACAACAACATAGAAACTCTACAATTTGAATAAATAACGTTGAGCGGAGTAGTGAATCTAATCTACTCAAAAAGGGATTTTCTTTCATTCAAAGCCAGATAAGGGTGACACACGGAACTGCATTTTTGCAGTAAGTCTTTACACTCTTGTTCGACTACACCGAACTCTCTCTAGGGCAACTTCTTGGGAACCTACAGAATTATTCGCTGTCTTTGGATTTCCTCAAATACAATCTGAGTGTTATTTTGTTCTCTTTTCAGGTAATAATTGAACTTGATTTTCAAAAACAACTTCACCTTTTCCTACAGGAGAATATCCTGTCTGACAGTGTCTGACCTCCATCTACGAGACATTTCCCCTGAGTCAATGGAAGGATTGAGCTTTTCAAGACTATGAACTATATGTAATAGTCTCATGTTACCGCTTTTTTCATCTGGAAGAGAAGCTTGTAATGTACTGGCTTTTATTTTAGGAGGAACTATTCCTTGCGCTGAAAAACCAAGCGAACAATTAACCTTGGGTATGTTGGTTTTCTGGTCCAACAGAAAAAGCACTTGAAGTTTCTACTTGCTAGATACCCCCAGGGTCTAGCCACACTGGTGTGGACTTGCCTTCTGAACCTGACTGACTAAATCATTCTGTGCCTGGGCCTCCTTGTCTTGAACTCACAGTAATG